CTTTATTTATAAAACTTTCAAGTAAAAAGAGCAGTATATCAACTGATAAAACAGGTGTGTCAATGAATAATAGTTAACATATTTATTCTAAAAATAAATCTTCTATGATTCCACCACACTCCAAGCAAAATTCCTTTCTACGCAAAGACGTTTGTTGTGAAGTCTACAGAGATGCAATGGGTGACACACCACAAAACCTTGGCTGTTCCACCGGTGGAGGAAGATACTCGAACTAGACCATTATTAGCACAGATCAATTCACTTTAACAGAGTTCCAACTCTAAATAAGGATTAAACAGAAATGAAATTCCTGAGAGGGAGGAAAAAACCGCAGAAGGAGGGAGAAATCAAACTCTTACACGAGGGAAAGCAACAATTCTACTTGGACCAAAATTCCTTGGGCCTCGGTTCTACAGAATAAATACTCTTCTCAATGGAGAAACACTAAAGAAGAAATAGTAACCCCAAAAGGATTATAAGAAGAATCCAAGAAAAGTGCATTATCTTTGAGCAAAAGATGACAAAAAAAATAATTTCTACAAATTTTCTGACAACAGATTCCACAGACAGGAATTAACAACAACAACAACAAAAAAGGTTACACAGTCAGACACAGCTTGGAATTCCCTACGCTGTGAAAGCACATTACATGAAACAAAATACAGTAAGGACTGATGATCCTCGTAGGGCAGAGATTTCATAAGGAAAAATGTGCCAATATAAAAATATTTCATACAGCACTGTTGTCGAAGTACTACTTTTATGAGCATCTGTTTTTATTGCAGAACGACTGGTATGTTTTACAACGAGACTATTCAAATGTAACTTAGGGAAACCACTCGAGGCAAATGTGAACATACTGGTCTATAAAGGACCACGTGGGTAATTCAATACCTGTGTCCTACATGCAAAGCTTGCATGCGTAGGTTCAACGTGAGTAATTGTCCGTCTTTCCTGTTTGAACTGTTGTGCCTCGGTGCTGTGTGCAATTCACGGTTTTCCATGAGTCATTCCAGCAGTGACGATACTCTGTATAAAACACACGTGTGCCACTATAAAAGCCTACTAAACTCTTGGTGATTGCTCAATGTACCACAGAGCCTAATAATTTATCCGGGTAGAAAGTAGAATCACCTCTATTCTTTCCTCAAAGCCAAGAATGCAGTGGATAGTCATTCCTCCTGAAGTAAAAGCTTAGGTGGAAATGGAGGAAAAACAGAGCTGAAATCCAGATGACAATTATGTGCAACCTCTATAACTGGAACGAAGCAAGAAAAACGTGTTTTCCACCTTCGCGTGCGACTATTTGGGGTGAAGTGTGTATGGGAACAGCTCCTTAAAAAGAATTTTTAAGAAAAGGAGGGGGGAAAAAAGAAGTGAAACTACAAGGAAATGTAGGAGAAAAATCATTGCCTCAGCCTAGGGAAAAAAGAAAAGATGACACCACATGACCATCACACGCAAGAAGATGAGAAATTGAGCCTGTATTTCAAAAAGACACTTTAAAAACTCAAAAGAATGGGAAATCACACCCAGTGCAGATGATACCTGCTTTCTGCCAGGTTTCTCTCTCGCACTTGGCACAGCTAGTGAACACAGTTTTTCATGCCAATGAAAGTAATCTTGAAAGAAATTTCTTAGAAGTTGTCATTTCTCCCTTTTTTTTTTTTCTTTCACCAGAACTTTGAAATTCTAAGAGCCATGATCTAATCTGCATTTCTGTAAAAATTCCATTGCCGTATCCATCTCTGTTTAGAGAACATACATACACACAAGCTTTAATATATAGAATATATGTGCATATTCTACATACTCATTGTATATACACATTTTATGTACAGCACAAGTAACTATATACTAGACATAGCATGTGGACATATATAGTATATACACACACTATTATTACATTATACAATACACTATATATATATATACACACAGACACAAATAATATGGGTTCAATGTACACTGTATATGTACTGTGTATACTCACATTTTCTATATCTTGCATTGTACATATTTTCTCTGCCCAAATAGCAACAGGCCTATTTGTGCTTTAAATTTCACTGTTCTGGAGGAAGAAGAAGATCAGTGGCTTGTGACAGAAGTTTTGTCTCAGAAGAACAAGTGCAGGTATTGCACAAAACGCTGAGTTACAGGTGTTAAGGGAAGAACGTGGGTAATCTTCCTTTTTTATATGGAAAACTGTATTAAATACCACGGGGAGAAATCCCAGCTAAGTCTTCTTCTACTGCAGTGTCTAACATTTTGACTCAAGAGTGTTTCAGTAAAGCTACGGTTACTAAATCTAACACACTGTGCATAGAGAACGTGTTCTGTCCTTGTTCATTTGCTTGATCTTCTGTTACTGCCCAAGCAAATATGAAGAATGAGTCAATAAGGAAATAGGAAAATGAGCAATTAGTTCTAACACTGTGCGGAATGCTGGATTAATTCACATCTCTGGCTTCCTTTTTGAAAACACCGACTCATTGCCTTAGAAGCATAATAAATTACAGTCTTTCCGAGCACTGACAAAGTAGCAGAAAGTCTTGTTATGGTACATAACTCAGAAAATTACTCAAGCTATTTAGCTCATCCACCCCGTCCCACTGGAGTGACATCATCTGAGCAGTAGTCCAAAAGTGGTTTTGCTTTCTGAAATGGCACTATGTATGAATGGGCTTTTATTGTCGCAGGAGAGACACCGCAAAGACTCAGGCCCAAATGAAAACGGAAAGGAGAATCTCACGGGTGGATACAGTTTGTTTGACTTCACTGACAATCCTGCAGCCACTTGATTCTGAAAACTGCTCTTTCACAGCAAAAGTTTTATCTCACGTTAGCTGTCGACAGACCCAAGTTTGCTCTCAGTCCTGCACGCCAACAGCAAAGAGAACCTGTTGACATTGTAGTAGGTTTGATCCTTTAACATATTTTAGAGAAAGACTACCACGATGGGAAGGGATTTCAAATCAGGTTCTGTAAAATCAGAAATATCTTCTACTGCATTCCAAAGGGTCGTCGAAAGACAGTACTAAAGATCATGACATGGCTGGTTTGGGTACTAGAATGCATCTTCTCCCCTTCGGAGGGGAATTAAAGATTCACATTATTGAGAGCACCGTCAGCACAGGCGCCACACAGCAAATGGGGACTGGGACTCCTCAAACGGCACTTTGAGAGACGGGGCTTCACTTTTGCCGTACGCACACGTGAACGGACGGGTGTGCGTGTGCATGCACAGACACACACTCGCCCGTTCACCTGCTCACAAAAGCCTGAGACAACAACTGCCACATCTTAGCAGCATTTCAGAGCTGGAAACTATTGAGAAGATTAAAATGACCCAATCTGATTCTTATCTCTGTGTAAGGAAAGCATCCAGAATAAGGCAATTGCAACAGAACGGGGGAAGATTGTTTTCTTTCAGTGAACAGGCACTATCGTTGTACTGTGAAAAATAAAAGTAAGGAAGCAAGGACGTAAGAACCAGAAATGCATTAAAGATGATGAAGGGATACCGCACTTTCAAAAAAAATAGAGAGAACGGTAGATAAGAGCTGCACCAGTAAAACCACAGAATGTTAAGCTTTGTATTCCTGCAGAACCAAGGACAGGAAAGCAGATGCAGGCTGAGGACGTTTGAAAAATTTTGTGCTAGATGCCTACTCTATTTAGACGTAAAAGTCCAAGGCAAAGACAACTGAAGGTTGAGAATTCCTGTAATCAGAAAAGGCATTTTTAGTGAGTAATTCACGAACTCCTCATAAGGACTTACTTTATGCATGACGTGTAAAACACATTCAGCATTATCCTTACCAGGTGGAAGCACCGAGTTCTACAGGTGTACGTAAAATCTGTTCCTACTTGGACTGCAAGCCGTACGGTAAAGCCGATCCAGTCTCCCAGTACTTCTGTAACTCACGCAGGAACGTGGATTTGGCAAAAAAAAAAAATCTGTTTCAACTTGGCCTTATTTCCACTCAATTATGTTTGATCTGTAACCCCGTAAGATAAGGTCAGTGGAATGAAAGAAACAGAGGTAGGGACTGTCTCACACAGCCAACTGGGTAACACAAACACTCCGGTCTACGCGCTGGCGGCTGGAGCAAAAGAGGGTCAAGTGAATTGCGAACACGGCTCAAGCTTCCTAAGTTTTCCATCGCTTGATTTTACAGGAAAGCAGCACCCAAACTCGTATCACAGTCCTGCAATTGTATTTGCTTATGAGATAAAGCAAGGTTTTTGCCTAATGATTTAATTGCCAAATTATTTGTCCAATTTATTACAACCGAATTAACTCCCTCTTTTACAACATCACATACAATTATCAAAACTCAATGCAAACAATTGTTTACATTAGAAGAGCTACTCATTCGTAGAGGCTTCAAATTCGTAGTATTTTATACAGTTCACGACGTTTGCATTCCTCATACATCAAGTGCCGGATTCTTTTCCAAAAGCCACGCCTCCTGGATAAAAGGGACCGTCTAATAATGAATTTATGCTGAGGACTTTGGACACAGATGACGCAGATGACATCCTGGTTAGCCTACCATGAATTATTAAATAAAAGTAACAAGTGAAAGCTAATTCTATAAATATTATCTTTTCGTGACTTTTTTTGGAAATTCATACTGCAGCTTCAAAAACCCAACGCAATTCAGGTAATAAAAAGCCAGATTCACAAGTTGCAGTTTACTGCGCAACGTTATCTTCCAGATGAAGAATCTTTGCTTTCAGTATCATAGGATCATACGTTAAATTTCTTACAAGCAGTAAATTTTATCTAGAACATATAATAGAGCTTATACAGTGTTTCCTGCATATTATGCACTTGAAAAGCCACAGAGCCCAGTTTGACGTAACCAGCCAGTCTTGTTTAGGGTTGAAGGTGACTAAAATTATTTTCACAACATAAACCAAGAATTTAGTATTTTTATAAAAGCCATGTTTGAAGGTTTCACTTGGACAGGGTGGAGCCAAAGAACCTCCACTTAAGAGCTCGGCATATCGGCCTTACTGAGTGCAATAGCCAACTCAAGGTCTTCTTGTTCTTGCCTCCGCAATCGAGCTAGCCTTTCTTGCTCTGCTTTCTCACTCTCGCGCTTTGCCCATGCCAGCTGCTGTTCTTCATTTCCAAACTAAAAAATGAAAATGGAAAATAAATTAATAAATTTACCAAAAAGCTAGAAGAAATTATGTGAAAAATACAGTGAAGCAGACTTATTAAACACATGAATCACGTATACCAGGCTGTCTTAGGGTAGCTCTTCTGGACTAAGACAAAAATTCCCTCACTGATTTCCTCACTGTATCCTTTAATTTCTTTCCTTAACTTCTTCTTCCTCCCACCAGGAAACTAACCCTTCTGGGCTGCACGTCCCTGCATCCAGCTCTCAGTTTTGTACGAAAACGGCCAGGGGCGCAGAGCCAAACAAAAACTCCACAAACACAAAAAAAGCAAGTTAGTGGTTTGGGAGCATAGCAACCTACATCCATTTTTAAGAATAGTAAATAGCTGGTAAAAAACAAGAGTTATTTACTCTTGTGCAACTCCATTGCAGAGAGTTTTATCGTAGGATTTCCTGCTAAGAGTGAGGGGGTTTAATAATGACTCTGGAGACTGCTGCTTTGTGGGAAGTTTCATCATCAAATCAAGTTACAAAAAGTGTTTCTGTTACTGTCCATAAAAATAGGTGCAGAGTTTTTCCAGTAAGAAATAATGTAATTTACTTCAGCAGAAAACACTAAGGAAATGTAACACATTATAACATTCAGCTTCTACGCCTGTTTGAGCTTCCCAAAACACATTCAAGTACACTGCAGCAGACCTATTCCAAAATTATAAACCAGTATTTACCATTGAAGTATGCAAAAGTTCACTTGTTTCAACTTTTTGCAAAATTATTCAAATATTTTATTGAAATAATAACCATTTAAAACTGAAATACAACCCGTTACTGTTTATTTAATTTTAGCTTTTGCTGAAAAGGATGATGTTAACAGCAGCGTCCGCACAGCTGCACGCAAATGTTTGCATTATATCCCACTTCTAAAGTTTGCTTTGTACTATCTTTTTTTTGAATGTTCAGGAAAACATATTATTTGGGTTTTTTTTGGAAGAGAAAACTACATGGAATTTATAGTTTCAATTTCAGCTGAATGTATACTGCAAAACTTGCCCTGTGGGCCACAACACAGTAACTCTGAACACAGCAGAAGATGCCGTTGCAGTAGCTGATATGGCAACTCCTTCCCAGCGAAGCCTGAAACATTGATCTGAACATTAAGCCCAACTTTCAAGCGCTAGACCTACGCCTGGCTGCTACACACCGCGTGACAGCCCCCACCCCGCCTCTGCCACTCCGCCTCGTGTCTGTAATTCACAGCTTTAAATAAATGCGCCTATTTGAATTTCTCTCAACCCAGCTCCAATGCTCATTTACCCATAATTTAGTTAAATTATGCTTTATCTGTGTGCTTCTGGATGCTCTCAATTCCTCCTTTTATTTCTCTCAATATGATCTTGCAGATGATGTGATGAAAAAAAAAATAAAAGGAGTATTTTAAAGTTACTTTTCTTCAAACAACACCTCTGCTTTCATTGCTATCAAAATTTAGACGAGGACCTTTGCATTCAATGTTATTGAAATACAAGAAAAGTGCCACACATTTTATGATATTTTGCTTTTAAAATGAAGAAAACCTACTGTCATTACTCGTTTAAATAACGTCAGCTGACAGGTAAGATTTAAAAACTCACTAAGATTTTTAAATAGGTCATTTTTTTCCAAGATACAGTAAAGATGGACCGAATGGAAGTAGGACTTCTCCACTTATTCCAAGAATTCAGAAAGATCATATAGCTGGGATGCAGAATAACAGTTACTATTTTCAGAAGTACAATACACTTTGGTCAAACCCTCTGGGGTATCTTTTTTTTTTTTTTAAACATTGAGAAAACAGTTTTACTTATATAGCTCACATCTTGGGATAAGTCTTCCAAAGCTTATGAGAGTCCCAATTATGACTTGTTTATGGTACACAAGTTATATTTTCGTGGTTAAAAGTGCTGAGTTTAAAAAAAAAAAGGAAAAATAGGCAAGTGATTCACTGGAACCAAACGTGGATGTGCCTCATTACAAATGGTTAGCATATAAAGTACAATTTTCAGGAGCGTAACTCCGACCATCAGGCAGTGAAGTACACAACAGCTCATTAATGCCACTGACTCCTGCACCAAGTGCCTAGGAAAAGGTATCGTAACTGAATTACGAGTCATTTAATACAATACCAATTTGTTTGCATCTGTCCAGGTTTCAAGAAGTCTATAAATATGGATCACGTATCTGTCGTTTCATTAAAAACCCCTCTTTGCTTTGCTTTTCCAGAAGTACAGTTAGACCCAAGGCATAAATGAGGAAAAAAGCAGACTGCAGCAAAACTAATCAAAGACACAAAAAGCTACACTGACTTGTGTTTACTAAATTACCAGCTCATACTAAGAGAAAAATTTTAGTTTAGTTTTAAGGGCTCTGTTTCTTGGAAATTTAAATGCTTTCTGTTGGCAGAAAGATTGCTCGTCGTCTTGTTCTGTAAACTGAAGCTGGAACCTAGAAATACCTGAAATATGAGCTACCAAAAGACTTTGTTTTGTTCCAAAGAGTTGTAATTAATTCCAGCGGAGGAGTTAAGAATGCAATGAGAATACACTTAAACTCTGGGTGCATGAATTTGCCGGTATCTCAAAGAAAAGACAAATTTTCTAGAGTGCTACTAAAATCTAGTGAAGGTCCTCACGCTGTTCATTTAGTAAAGCATTCCAATTAAAAAATGGGGTTATTTTCAATTACTTGAACCTACATGATTCTATGATTCCCTTGGAACTGGAATTCCATGGACTCAAAAAACCTTCCGTAAGTAAAATTGCTTTTAATTTCCATTATGAACAAAGTTTCCCAAACATCAAGCAAATAGAAGCACAGTATTACTGCTGACGAGAAGGTAACTAGTATGCTCCAGACTTCATACAGAAGGATTAGGAACTATCAAGTGTAGCAACATAACTGTGTTATAGGCAAGCTGGAATAAAAACCCCAACAAACTGAAAAGGACAGGGATCAAGTCTCTTTTCAGTCAAATTCAGTTAAAGCTTCTTTTTTTTTTTTTTTTTTTCCTTACAGCAGCAGAAAGCAATTCACAAAACCAATTAAAAAATTACTTTCATTTGATAAAGCGCCACTTAACTGTAAGTGGCTACTGCTCAAGGTCTCATTTTTCCTACTTTTTCCTTATCTTCTAAAGTGAATCTCATCTCTGAAAACCTGATGGCACAGCAAATTTAACTAGAGCACCCAGCGGGATGGCGATCGAGATTTTGGTTAATCGTTCGATACAATCACTCAGTGTGAGCCACGCTTTTAACTTAACAAACGCAGTCTGTAAAGGAAGATGACAATAGTTGGGTAACAGTCATTCCAGTCCATTGCCTTTCACTGAAGGAAGAAATTAGATGTTGTTCAAGAAATTTCAGATAAAGCAAGTTTTGCGTCTTATTTTTATTAAGAATGTCACCATTTTGTATACAATCACAGAATTGAACTGTGCAAATTCAACAGGCTCGTACTAACTGTGGTAAAGCATACATAGTAACTTGAACTTCAGTATCATCGATAAATTAAAGCACTGAGGCCAGCTAAAAGTATGCACAGACGACCTCAACTAACAATACCAAATAGGAAAGTGATACACATTTACTATTAACTAAGAACTGGGGGGAAAAAAAAGAACATTAAAAATAAGCAACCTGAAAGATTCAGCTTAAAGATCTCCAGTTGTTGAACACTGAACTGTGTCCATCAGAGTTAAGTAGCAGATTAAGTTGGCAATTTCACTGCATGGCAATGTGACAGAACAAAAACACATGAAAGGAGGAAGAAGCCTGAGGCTGTGGATGGAACAGATTTCTATCTACTCATGGAAGCAGCAAGAACCACACTACTACTACATTTACAATGATTTCCAATTCAGTAACACACCTGCCAGCACTAAAAACAAAGCCAGGCTTTTAGAAACCCTGATATTTTTTAATGAACGGGTACTTGGCTTTGCTTTCAAACCTTCTGATACTGTCTTTTGGAGGGCAGTACGGATGTTTCATACTGTTTCTAAAAAACAATTTTGTTTTCTTTGTCTTACAAGGGCTTTTCTACCGTATCAGTAATTGGAACAAAATTCAACAACTAAATTTTCAATCTCTGTCTCATATATGTATCTTTATGACCACATTCCATCATATACAGCAAACATTGTGACAGGATTGTCAGAACTTTTTTCACAAACAATTACAAATACTTTATGGAATCTTTCCCTTTAAGGATTTGTGTCTCAGGATATTGTGAAATTGCTATATAAATGTTTTCAACATTTGTTTTTGAATTTTTACATCATTGGCTTCCAAAAATCAGTTTACAAAATAGCCTCCATGCAACAAAAACAATACACAGATTCTGCTACAAAGAATTTGTGAGTAAAGGCACACTGTACTAAAATAATTTAAATGCAAGTAAACCCTTTAAAATTTAGTATGAAACTTCTGGTTTTATTGAAATAACGCCTTTTTATTACAGAAATATTAATACAAAAACAATGAGGACAGCATGAAGGTACTAAGAGACAGAAGCCAGTGAACAGTAGGTTTGCAGTTAAAACAAAACCCCAATAGATTGCTGCAAGCAGAGCAGAAAGTGGTTTGCTCAGAGACAATGAACTTAACTTACAGAGCTGAAGTCTGCAAACCCCAAGGAAGAGTCTTTAGAAGTTTTACTTGAAGAGGAGGGAGCAAATGGATCTTTTCCACTAAATGGGTCCCCAAACCCCTTTTTACTTTGAAACGGGTCACTGCTGTCAGCCCCAAATGGCTGGAATGGATCATGGGGCTTGGGAAAATCTGCAGACCCAAGGTGGCTTACAGGAGTACTTTTACCTGGAAAGTTTAGGAAAAAAAAAAAAAAAAACAAACAAAAACAAAAGGAGAAAAAGAGAAGTTACTTACCATGGACAATGCAAACCCCTTAAACAGGAAACTGTGCTGATACACCTTAGCATCATCCATTCCTCCCGGGGTGGTTTAAAACTTTAACCAATATAATGGTACTCATTTCTCAATGCAAATCATCTCAAACAGTTGTTTTACTTAAATGGATTTATTCTCTCTCTCACACACACTGCAGTATTAACACCATCACGATTTTAAATGATAAAACCCAATACAAAGACACTTGGTTGGAAGAATTTGACAAACATGACTTTGGTTCATTTTCCAGGATTAGAGACACTTCAAGATTAAGTTTGGGATTATATCAAAGACAAAAAACTTAGAATTATACGTCACAAGGTAAATAATTAATCATAGTTAATAGTTAAATAGACTTAAATAGCAACTTATCTGTGACTTCACAGAATGCATGCATTCTGTTTTTTTCCTGGAACTTTTATCCTTCTACCACCACACATACAAGGGAAAAGAGACGGATTAAGAAGTCACCCTGTTCTGGGGTGCTTGCCTGCAACCCACCTTTTGTAGGTGACTGCTTGTTCTTACATTCCACCCCAATAACAAATGAAATCACAGGAACTATCGTGTATGCTCATTAATAACGGCTGTATATTTTATTTGTTGCTGTTAGAACCTCAGTGGTTAATTTATAATTCCCCTTGCAAAAAGCACTATTTGTTAGGTCAAATAACTAAACACATAGATGTGATTTTTCTTTTTTCCTCTTAAAAAAAAAGAATAAAGATCGCTCCTGACAGGTACACAATCAAGCCTCCAGGGAAAATGCTCCTTGGATGAACAATCCCAATTATAATGCATACTCGACAAATAATAGTGGAAAAAAAAAAAACAACCAAAAAAACCCCAAGAAATATTTTTTAAAGAAACAAAGATTTACAACTGTCTGCATAATAACCTGAATTACATACACTATTTGCCTTAACGAAGCTACCTTTTTTGAAACATCTGATCCTTTGAGCTACAATTTAACAGGAATCTTATAATTTATTCACATCAGGATACTGATATAGCAAAGCACAGGGAAATGCAGCTGAACCCCTAAATTTCAGAGTATGTGCTTGGCACGTCTAAGACACAGCCTGATAGCTTTGAAGAAGGTACTTTGGTAGTTGCTCACGAACTTTATAATATTAGCTCAGATCTGTGGAAACCCTCATCTGTCAAAGAGAAATAAAGACCAGCACACTCGCGCTAAATAAATGACCTACGCAGCAGCCTGCCTTCACCTGCCGTTAAATCATGGCTCAGCCTCTCCCATCCCAGGGGCCAGCCAAAAGTCCCCCTTCCCTTGTGCCCGGCTTGCCAGACGTACAGCCCTCTGCCACCAGCAGGCTCCGCACCTCCTCAATGATCGCACTGACAGGGAGCTGCAGGGATCACGCAGACTCTCACCTCACTCCTGCACTGCTAATGTCAAACTCGGGCCTCAGATGCAATACAGTGACCACTTGCAGGCACTGCGCTTTCGGGAAAATGCGAAGCAAGAAAGTCCACAGCTGACCAAGCAGACAGAAGAGGTGTAGAAAACAAGACACATGCAGTAGGAGAAATAACTGGATTTGTTTAGTCTTAAAGAGTATTCAAAGGGAACTTCATCAAGAAAGAGGTGAATGGATTTAGACTTTTCCAAAAGAGATTTACATTAGGCAATCTGTAACACCTTTAAATCTTAAGAAGACTCAAGACTGCCTGTCTTGTGGGAACTTGTGGCATGCCATCATCATGTCCATGAGGTTTGAGAAATGGCTTCTCGAAATCACACTGGTTTAGCTGCCTTGAAGCTGGAGGATGAATGAGGTATCTTAAAGTTCACTCCAGTACTATTTTTCATGGTTCAGAACGTGCTCCATCCCGGCTAACAGCTGTGGCGAGGATATACGGACCCCCATATGAGCAACCAGATGTGGGACTTCTAAAGAGAGGCAGATCAGACCAGTGATTTGTCCTTCATGGAAGGAAGTGACAAAATATACAGGAAATACCAGCAGCAGTTGCTCTCCCCACAAGCATGGACGGACCCTCCTTCACCACAGTTTCAAACTGCCTCTCCTATCACCAGAGGCCACCTTTCGTTCTCTGAAATGGAGGGCTGCATTTACATCCCGCCCGTCACCATGGCCTTCAGGAGATCCCACCTTCAGTCACAGCTGCGCAGTGTGAGGGAACTAAGCAAACCTGGGCAGAGATGAGCAACTCAGCATTTTGTACGTAACTCTCCAGATAAAAGAGCAACTTATCTGAAATCACAAAGAGAATTACACCATCTCCATGTCTAATTTAAGGTCAAGGCAAAACAAGAGCCATCTCCATTTTGTTCTCCTTCCTCTACTGCCAGCTACTAGCAAGCTAGTTCCCCCTAGTATCCTCCACCCTATGTTGCTCCAAACCAATTTTGATTGATAGAGGTAAAAAATGACCCATTTTAAGCTGCCCTTTTTCTTAGGTTAAATTTGCTGCCACCGAAACCACTTTGTGGAATTGGTGACTGTTAATACAAACACAGGGTTTGCAACGTATTTGCTCAGCAAACCTGTTTTTTTCTAGGTGGCCTGTTTAACGTTTTTGCACGAAGTCCCTAGTGGTTTTGGAACATACACAACGAGCATCGGGGCTTCTCGTGCTTCGTCTTCACAACTGATCACAAAGAATAACTTTGCTGTAGAGGAAATGTCACCATGTATATACTACAGTTACTGCTAATAATATTGAAAACTTCCATTTCACATCCTGAGTGCCATTTTCTTCAGGTTTTTTATATGCTAAAGAAGAGGGCTATAATTTTGTTATTTTGAAGAAAAGGTGAAAGAGGGAAACCCTTATAAAAACAGGTTTGGTTTTTTTTGCAGAGCAATTTTAGGGCAGTGCCCATGCTGAATACACCAAGCCTGGCACTCAGGACAGAGTCCTCAACGAGCCCTCTTTCACTACACTTTGTACGTTGCTTATAGTTTGCTTTAACCTGCCACACTCAGCAAATATGGTTTTGAGGCCTGGCAGAAGTTTGTTTGGTTCAGTTAGATGTTCGAATTTACTCATTTATTAACCACAAATTAGTAATAATGACACCAGAATTATCTTTGACATCCTTGCTGGCTTACACAAAGTGCGAGGCTCCCAGTGCAGTAAATGTACACTCAAGTACACAAAGATTTTTGTACTCCCATGTTTAGCATGTCAAGAATGTGGGTACAGTATTTCTGTAACGTAAAGCAAAAATACCCAAACCACATTAAAAAGTCACCAACTGAACCGAAGGACATTGGTAAAATCATAATATTGCAAAATGTGCTCTCAGTAGTATCTGAGATTGCATTAATCTTACATTCGCTGAAAAACGTTACATTTTTCCACGATACTGCTCATCGTTTTTGAGGTATGGCAGTCTGAAAGTGCAGGCAAACAGTTGTAACCCTTACTTATTTGATTTTTCTGCTAATAGTTTCAGGGGAAAAAAGTTCAGAAAAAAGCAAAACAGGTCCTATTCTGAAACCACAGCAGTTTCAGCAGTTACCCAAGTGGTGCACCCAAACCACACTGAGGACTCACTTCAGCAAAAAGAGATGATGAACAAAATGGTTTACCACAGCAAATGCTGTTAACTTATAGTGAACTCCACCCATACGAAGGCTTTATCTAATTTCATACTCCGCAGCAAACTTTAAGGTTGAGATCTGTAGCTCAAGGCAAATATAATCTCGCTGGTAGGATGCAATTACAGAATTCATCTTGCTGAATTACAAGATACTGACAATGAAACAATGAAGTGAAACATTTACAGTTTTCTCTACATTCCACGTTTCAACAGTGGCCCTAACTTTCTGCTTGGAAGAGTATCTTACTGAATTATGAGAAGCAGCAGGTTTTCATGTGTTTGAAGCCTGGATTATGCATGCTCACAGGCAAACAGGGCAGAGCCGAGATGACACGACTTTAAACTTTCACTAAACAAGTACTCCTTTCCAGGAAACTTTCTAAAGTAAAAAAATATGCTGTAAAAAAGAAGTCAGTCGTGCTACATCAGATAAGTAGTGATAGTGTGAATTAGGTCCATACCTGCAATTATACTCAAACATACAACACCAGGGCTCCTACCTCTCACATCTTTTCTATGGCAGAGAAGCATTACTCTAGAAAACTTTGGAGACTGTGCAGTATGTAAGGTGCCTCCCAGCACATCCTTCTCTTGGCACTTTACCAAATGGATGTAATCATTCCTACCTTACTCACCGTGTTTTTTTCACCATCCTGTTAAATTATCCAGCTCTTCCACTGATGCAGAATAAAACTTTCATAAACTGTGAATTTTAGGAACTTGCAGAAAAATTATTACTGGTTTTCAAAATGTGCTTGAAGGTTGGTTACATTAAAACCAATTTTCTACAGAATACTCAGAGGTATTGGTCTTCAACCGGGGCTATTTCTGCACAGTATTTCACACACGACTGTTTGGTGATAATGTTCTTCGCATAAAATCACAATACATATTTTTAGCAACAGAAGGAAGAATTTTTCCCTATGCAAAAAACCCTCAAGACTGTTTTTGCTGCATATTTGCAAAATTTGCACCTTGAGCTAGCCCAAAACTCTGAAAATCTTAGCTTAAGAGAAATATTCTGAAAGCTACAATCTTCTTGAAAGGTGAGAAATCGTTACACATTCAGCCTAACAATCTGTTCTGAAACAGATTCTGAACAACCCCTTTCAACAATCGGTACTGAAATATCTTTGCTGTGAGAGATCAGCATAAACAACAGAATCAAAGCGTGAATGGAATTTTTAGTTTGTGGCTGGGCAGGTGCTCCACCCATGAGTCATTTATCCTACACAACAAGGGATGCCTGCGTTCTAATGCAACTGTCAGGTCTTCTAGAAGGCACGAAAATAAAAAAAAAAGCTTTCCTGTCAGT